CAAATCATAATCTTTAAGGAAAAGAAATCATAATCTTGAAAGGAATTTTGGACTTCTTGAATTTCTTGAATTTTTAGCTTTCATGATCTTGCATTATTCTCCCCTGGTTGAAAAAGACTCGTCCTCGAGTCTAACAACTTCCATAGATGGCGCAAGATTTGCTATAATAAGAGTGGAGACCCAAGGGGGGAAAAAATAGGGACCCAATGCTCACTAGGTTTTAAGTTACATTTTGCTAGTTTATCATAGAGCTTCTTCACGTTGTAAGCAAATTTAGCATGTGGTCGAACTAAATCCCACTTTTTAAATTTCAACTTTCTACCAAGTCTTCTACGTGTAATCTTTCTGTATTGACTCTCAAAATTCAACTTACGATATGAAGTTATTGGTGTTGGAGGTTTATGAAACTTAGTCAATTCCATGTTTAGCTTTGACTTAAGCATGGATCAATGCTCTTCTTAAGAATGCGTCCATTGTACCGCTTGTACACCAACAATCACTTTGATGATAGCTATATATATTTATGACGTTAAGACATCTTGTTTCTCCAATATATGGACTCAAACTCACCATTATCCACTCCTTTATAGGTAATCCTTCCTTTTGTTCATGCATATTTTTATGGACTTAGGATTAACGTAATATGTTGCCTTGTTTGGGTTAATAGAGTCAACAATCAAGTCAATATTGTGTTGAGCATCTCTAAGAGGCGGAAAGTCAATAACACACATAGTTAGGTTCGGATCATCATAAAACTTTGGTAGGAACTCCTCAACTAGTAGATCCAATGCTTGGTCCTCGCTTCTTTGATAGTGGTGTTTGTCGGTTTCGTCCTCTTCACGCCCCTGATTATCTGAATATTTATCATCATGGGCATGATGCCTTGGTCAGCTTTAACCTCTTCATCTCTTAGTGAATGAATTGGTGGATATAGAAGTGATAGATGTGGCAGTTGTAGGCGTTGTGAAGGATTTGGTAGTTGATATGAAACACCAAACCTTCAACTAATTTAGTCAGATTCTCCATTGATTACTTCAATTCATCTAGTTGCACTTTAATTTCTTTGTTGTCTCATTCAAGGATTCTAGTTCTTAATTTATGAACTTTTAATTGCGGATCCATTGACGAGGATCCCACATTTATTTTCAGCATATTAAGCCCTTTAAATAGGCCTTACAATAAGTAAAATTGGTTAGGTTACGGAAAATAAATCCTAATTAAATTAGAATAAGAATAAGGCTAAGAAAACCTATCCTAACTAATATAGGAAAAAGAATTCTAATAAGAATGGGATAACAACTAACAATCCTAGTTTGACTAGAACTACAAATATAATCCTACTAAAATAAGAATAAATTACTAGGAAATAAAAAATAACAAATTATAATCTTTAAGGAAAAGAAATCCTAATCTTGAATGGATTTTTGGACTTCTTGAATTTCTTTGTTTTTTAGCTTTCTTGATCTTGCATCATTAGTTTTTCTAAGCTCTTGCTTCAAAAATGTGATTGATCTTTTATTTCATTCTTTTTCCTTTATTTTCAGCATATTAAGTCATTTAAATAGGCCTTACAATGAGTAAAATTGGTAAGGTTAAGAAAAACTAATCCTAATTAAACTAGAATAAGAATAAGTCTAAGAAAACTTGTCCTAACTAAAATAGGAAAAAGAATTCTAATATGAATGGGATACCTACTAACAATCCTAGTTTGACTAGAACTACAAATATAATCCTACTAAAACAAGAATTAAATTACTAGGAAATAAGAAATAACAAATCATAATCTTTAAGGAAAAGAAATCGTAATCCTGAATGGATTTTTGGACATCTGGAATTTCTTTGATTTTTAGCTTTCTTGATCTTGCATCAGATTTAGCACACCTTCACAGAAAATCTTTGGGGAGTAGAGGTTTATCATATGCGCGAGAGTTAGAGTTTTCTCGGTATCAGTGCATAATTGTCGGAGGCAGGCTACCGTACACTATATGGATGGACCTACTTGAGCCAAGCATACTTGGTACCGGTGGTAGAATTGTAAGATTATTGGGTAAATTCCTTCACCCACTCCCAAGGTGAAAGGACCCAAAGTAAAGGGATATGTATAAACGTATATGAACCCCGGCTTGGAGTAGTTAACTCGCTCTATCGCATTGGTGGTGAGGATTTCAATGTTACCCCAATTACATTCCACCTTCACAATAGGGATGCTAGAAGGACGAATGGAAGAAGGATATCTACGAACGGGCCAGAGCCTGTCACTTTTAAAGTTTGAAGGTGGTTTGTGCTCTTGAAAGTCGGATGTCGTGCTAAGGTCAAGCGGTATGATGGTGTTTATGGTTTGAGGTTCACACTCGACCTCAACCTCTTTAGTTTTGTTCTTCTTTTGATCCCCACCGAAGAGAAGGCCAGCATTTTCGGAGATAGCAATGTTAGAAGACATGCTATGAGGAAAAAATTTTAATGAAAAAGTTGAATATTGCAGAAGATCTCTAAAGCATTCAAAGAAGAAGAAGTCATTGTGAAAGTAAAGAGTAAAAATGATGAGTAGTGAAGAATTTATAGACGACAAAAATCGTGGTCATGATTACCTCAAAAACCGGCAAAAATTTTTGCTCACAGGGTAACACATATTCAGGTCATTAATTGTGAAAAGACGCGCGTCCTTTCAAATATCAGAGACCGTTCAGGAACTTTTTCGCCAAGTAAAGAATTCTCATCTACTTCTCGGTAACACTAAGTTGCGTCACCGTAAAGTAGGGGGACTATTTATATGGGGTAAAATTGGCTAGTGACAGCTGGGCAAATGACAGAGTAACACATGAAACTAAAGACAGGTGGGGTGTGAGTCAGCAAACAGCGAACACCGGATGCAAGCGTGCAGTCATTGCAGGACAAATCCCGAAGACAGAGCAACCGATAACAAAGATTCAAAGCTTTGTCATCGGGTACATTCAATTGGCAGCCGTTACAGAGAATATCTGTATTTATAGCCAATCGTTATGCACCCATCAATGATAATTTTATTCTCATTCAAGAGGAGCTTGATTTGAGGATCTTGTCCCTGAATCAAGCTATAAATAAGGGGATTAACGTCCATGGTAAACATAAGAAACTCTGTACACAAAAAGCTATAATCTATTGTCTTTTTACGCTTACTTTAAACACTTGAACATTGCATTCACTCCTATCATCGGAAAGGCTAAATTCTTAGCTAGGCTTGTTATCTACTTAATTTTATTTGATAATCTTATCTTTGTTCTCATTTACTTATCATTTTGGGTCAAATCGATTCGCTTGTCTATAAACCACACTATAAATTTAACTGTACCGTTTTACGGGTAAACACCTTTAGGACATTCGACCAAAAAGTTGATTGCCTTTTTTAAATTAAAAAGGAAAACGATCCAAACTGTCAGTCCATAAACACTTTCAACCAAAACTAGCCCAAAACAAAATATTTGTCGAAAATAGCTCAAATACCATTTTGTAACATAGATCTATTTTGCTAAAATATAAAGGTGTTCGAACTTCTTGAGACACTGAACTTCGGTAATATTGCAATATTCTAACTCCTTGAAGTTAAAAATATAGGATCGAACACCTTAATTCGATTTAGAAATACAATTAAACGTTAGATTGTTGGATTGGATTGAAGGATTAAACTGAAAACGCCATGGACAATTATTGAAGCTTGCTTAAGCCTGAAATCAAAAATTTGAATTTTTGAAATTGAAATTTGTTTCGAGTGGTATTGTTGGAATAGATTTGGTACACTTAAGGAGTGTGAATCTCAATTTAGGGACGAGTTGGTAGATATTTTAGGTGGTTTGAATTGAAATTTGAGCCAAATTCGAAGTACACAAGATGGACATGGAAGAATGTATCTCCCGTGTATCTTTCGTTTATCACTTGTATATCAAATACGTAGATCTTGTGTATCTCATGTATATCCACGTAAACCTAATGTGAGATAAATGTTTGATTTATATGTCGGAAAGAAAAATTTAAACTCGATTTCAAATACAAATTTTGATTATAAATTTGTCCAAATCACCTCCAATCTTCCTCGAATTATGCATATTGACTCATCCATATATTTTTAATGAATTTCAACCATATCCATTATATTGAAAAAGGTCCCTTTTTGCTTAGGTTTTTGGAATGTTATATATATTTTTTCTTTGTGCTTGGTCAACATTTCATTTATGTCTTGCATTTAATATTGCAGATACAATAACAACATCATACACAGTATATTCTCACAAGTGGGTCTGGGGCATTTAGTATTGCAGATCATGCTTCAAATATAAAAGGAAATTTTTGCGCGTGATTTTCGGAGGGAAAGAATCCTTATTATCTGGGATTTTCAATTTTTATATGCATTTAGCTAAAGGTGTATGATTAATGGTTAAAGGCTTGCAAGGTTTTGACGTATTTTAGATATTTTCGTAAGACTCTCAATTAAGAACTGCATGCCTCAAGCCCTTCTTCATAAAAAAGGACTTTTTGGACAATTTGGAAAAATGTTAGTTAGATGTTTCATATTTGTTGGGTTTTAGGAATTATAAGCTTTAAGCGATGTGAATATGTATTAATCGACAGGTGACTATATACAGGGGCGAAGGTAGATGGCCCTAAGGGTGGTCAACTGACCACCCTTCGTCGAAAAAATACACTGTATATATATAGGTAAAATATTAGATTTTAAGTTATATGACATATATTGAACACCCTTTATAAAAAAAAATTTTACTTATTTCAAATTTTGAACACCCTAAATAAAATTTCTGGCTTCGCCACTAACTATATATCATAACTAAGTGTCATAATTAAACGCCTTATTTGGTCCGGTGAAAAGAAACTTAGGTGTTGAGTAAATGAGGAGTCTCTTTTCATTGCCCCACGTCAGGAAAATGTGGTGTTCCCTAAATGAATAGTCCCTTTCCTTTGCCTTACTACTCACTCTTATCCCACATAGTGTATAAATTGGCCATGGGACCTCAGTTCATGCAAGCAATTATTTTATTCCTTTACTCTTTAGTATCAAATCTTGTTTCTTCTTTTGTTCAAGACAAGAAGAAACATAATGGATGCCTTGTCTTCCACTTTCCTTTGTACATTATCACAACACCCTAAATCTCTTCTATCTCCTAATTATTCTCCCAATACATCATCTTCTCCTACTCCTAAGGTCTCCTCCGTTAGAATTGAAGAAAGGCCACAAACCACTACTAGAACAAAACCACAAGAAAAGCCAACCCCATCACCCTATACCACTCCCAAAAGACAATTACGTACAAAATCAATAACCACCAAAAAAACAGTAGAGCCATCATTTCCATCGGTTATCTTCAATGCATTTGACGATTTCGTGAACACTTTCATTGATCCTCCTTTGAAACCTTCTGTCGATCCAAAGTATATTCTTTCTAACAACTTCGCTCCGGTGGAGGAGCTTCCTCCTACTGAATGCGAGGTCGTGGTAGGCTCCCTTCCGCCTTGCCTTGACGGCGCGTACATCCGAAATGGCCCCAATCCTCAGTATCTTCCACGTGGACCTTACCATCTTTTTGATGGAGATGGAATGCTTCATTCCATTAAAATTTCTCAAGGCAAAGCTACACTCTGCAGCCGATACGTCAAAACTTACAAATACACAATTGAACGTGAAGCTGGTTCTCCGGTTTTCCCAAATGTATTTTCCGGTTTCAACGGTCTCACCGCCTCGGCAGCGCGTGGTGCTATCACCGCGGCTCGAGCGATTGCAGGACAGTTCAATCCCACTAACGGCATAGGCCTAGCAAACACAAGCTTGGCTTTATTCGGAGGCAAACTTTTCGCCCTTGGTGAATCTGATTTACCGTATGCAGTAAAATTAGACCCGGATGGTGATATTATTACCCTCGGCCGTTACGATTTTGACGGAAAGCTTTTCATGAGCATGACGGCACATCCTAAAATTGACCCAGATACTAACGAAGCTTTTGCTTTCCGTTACGGTCCAATGCCTCCTTTTTTAACTTACTTTAGAATCGAACCAAATGGTACAAAAACCCCAGACGTGCCAATATTTTCTATGACACGTCCGTCATTTCTTCATGACTTTGCAGTTACAAAGAAATATGCGATATTCTCGGACATACAAATAGGGATGAACCCACTTGAGTTCATCACCGGTGGTTCACCGGTGAGTTCCGACTCGGGGAAAATTCCCCGTCTTGGCGTGATTCCACGTTACGCCAAGGACGAGTCAGAAATGAGGTGGTTCGATGTGCCCGGGTTTAATATCGTACACGCGATTAATGCGTGGGATGAAGATGGCGGGGATACTATAGTGATGGTGGCGCCGAATATATTGTCGGTGGAGCATACGCTGGAGAGAATGGATATGATACATGCGTCTGTTGAGAAAGTGAAGATAGATTTGAAGAGTGGGATGGTGAGCAGACATCCAGTGTCGACAAGGAATCTTGATTTTGGAGTCATCAATCCCGCTTATGTGGGGAAGAAGAACAAGTACGTATAAATCTCATCACCAACTTAATTAATTAGATCATAAGTAAATTGGCATAATTAATACAGTTTAAATGACAGTGGAAAAGAACTTTTACACAGTTATTTCACCTGAAAAGATAATTATATACAAGTAATTAGGTAACAAGCACAAAGGTTGCACCTTCAGCTATGATACTAGATATGGTAAAAAAAAACTAAAAATAAACATAAATACACCCAAGGGTGTGACTTAATTAATTAATAAAGTTAGCAAAACTCACAAAAGGCCAAAATCCAAACTCCAGTGGAGATAAAAGAAAATAAAAGGTGATTTCTCATCATGTATTTAAATAGTATAATTAATGTGATTTCAATATTTACTACTACAACAGGTATGTATATGCAGCGATTGGAGATCCTATGCCAAAGATAGCTGGCATAGCTAAATTGGATGTATCAGTAGCAGAAGCTGATCGGCGCGATTGCATAGTGGCGTGCCGATTATTTGGAGAAGGCTGCTTTGGCGGCGAGCCATATTTTGTGGCAAAGGATCCCAACAATTCGGCAGCAGATGAGGACGATGGATACGTTGTGTCGTATGTGCACAATGAGAAGACAGGAGAATCAAGGTTCTTGGTCATGGATGCAAAGTCCCCTAATCTTGAAATTGTGGCTGCTGTCAAATTGCCTCGTCGAGTGCCTTACGGTTTCCACGGGCTTTTCGTTAGGGAAACTGATCTTAGCAAACTGTAGATATATACGGATATTTTGTTTAAAAGAGGGTGTGGGTGTCATCTAAAACATCTTCCTTGTATATATACTAGTATAAAAACCCGATGCCCGAAAATTTGACAGAATATTAATCTTATAAAGCCAGCGTCTAATATATCATATTTATTTAAAATATTAATTGTGTTTTATTATTTAATATAGTGTGCAGAAATATAATACAAACTATAAAAAATTAAAGGATACACATCATATAGTAATCAAATAAATCGTTTGTTCCTTTTTATTTTTATTATTGAATTAGCAAGTACTTAGTACTATTGATTCTTTTTTTGAGTGATATTTATTCATCTTTATTTTTTAATTAATTAAAAATATAAATATCATAACATCATCTCCATCCCCCTCTTTTCGTACATTCCTTTCTACTGTAATACTTATTTGATTAGTTTTTATGTAATATTTTTTTTTCTAAATTATAATTTTGAATTCATCAAAAGTATAAAGATATATATATATATTTGTATTTTTCATTTGAATGGAAAGTTTCTTTATTTTTTTATTTTCGTTTTTTTTATTTTAAAATAATTGTAAAACTCATACTTGAAACCAAGTGGCATAACCACAAAAGTCAAGTGTCATTGTTAAGACAAAATAAACTAGTTTTACAACTGTTTAGCCTTAAAATTGTCACTTCTTCAACTTACCACCTATCGTAATGATAAATGATTTTACAACTGTTTACCCTTAAAATTGGATAACAATTAAACTTAAAAGTGGTTTTAAGAAATCAATAATAGAAACCTATTGAATTAATTGTGGACGTGGCAAGGCATAAGCGTTGAGGCGCGGGGCAAAAGCCCCCCGGGTTTTTGATTTTTAACATTTTATAATTTAATAAAAGAACTATGTAAATAAAATTTGTAATTAGCCACTTAGATGCCTAGTTCAAACAGAACCCTTCCTGGAAGCAAAGGTGATTGATTAGAGTGCTCTTCTTTAGGTGTTTTTCAAAAGACTTGTTGTATGTGAAATCTGACATTTCTATTAAATAAACTAAAAGGCTTTAGCCTTGAATTTTATTATAAATTTTCTTACTTAGTTACTTCATAGCCTGGGATTATATTAAATATATTACAAGTCTTTTATATCTATTAAAACATTTCTCTACAAGTCTTTCTTTTAATATGTTATAATTTTTTACTTAGCTTCTTTACAATTTGTTAAGTTTAAGTTTATTAAGAAACTAGTCGTTACCAATTTTAAATAATTAGCTATTGCAAACTTTTAAAAAATAGTTGTTGCCAACTTTAGTGCTTAAATATTTAATTTAATAAAGTTTAAAAAAAAGATCTTTCAATATATATACAAAAATTTAAACTTATTTACCTGGTTTAGCTAATTTTTTATTTATAAAAAGTAACTAAATTTGTTTTTACAAAATACATACAAATAACTTGACTGTAATTTTTTGTTGTCTAGAATCCGGTCAAAAGCTAAATTTATAACTTACGTACAACGATGTTAGTGGTATATATTTTGTATGTCATTTGTACATCCGACATATAAAATATATACAATTTATTTATGTCTTTGTCTTCGAGTTTCAATCTGAAATTCAACCAAAACCAACTCGAATCTTCACCAAACTCCCTCAAAATTGAGATATAATGATATTCTCAATCATTTGTAACAACACCCAATCCAAACAAATAACGATTTCACCAAATCCGATTTTTCAATTAAAAGCTTCAAAGCTTTTTAATGGTTGTCAGTGGAGTTTAAACTCAAATCATCACGCTTTACACACCCAAACAACCATTGGGTATATATATATATATATATATATATATTTGAGGTTTTAAGCTAAAGTAGGCTTAAAAGAGGGTGATGAGAAATGGAGGAAAAATAAAATATTTGAGTTTCATTTGAGATTTCCTCCTTGACAAAGGGACAGTGTTACTGCTTACTTATTGTATCTCCTCTAAAACGTGACCAATGGGGATTCCTGGAGAAACATTCAAGGGCTGCCATATGGCTTAGTAATTGTGAAGCAGCAATGAATGAGCTTTAAATAAATGAGTATGATCCGAGTCTAATAGCCTATTTGGCAAAGCTTTTCCAATCCTAGAAGTACTTTTTTTTTTTTCAAAGTTGAAGTGTTTGACCAAACTTTTGAATGAAGAAAAAGTGCTTTTGAGGAGAAACAGAAGCAGTTTTGGAGAAGCAAGCAGAAAAAAGTAGCTTTTCTCCAAAAATACTTTTTTGAAAAGCACTTTTGAGAAAAATACGCTTAGAAGTAGTTTTTAAAAGCTTGGTCAAACACTAATTGTTGCTCAAAAGTGTTTTTCAAATTAATTAGCCAAACACAAACTGCTTCTCACCAAAAGTACTTCTGGAAAAAAGCACTTTTGAGAAAAAAACACTTCTCAAGATAAGCTGATTTTTGCAGCTTGGCCAAACGGACTATAATACTCCCTCTGTTCACTTTTACTTGGCACGTTTTGATTTTTCACGCCCCTTAAGAAATAATAAATGAAGTGCATAATTTACCATGATACCCATATTAATTGATGCATATTTTACTGGATTTGAGAAAATAATTTAAAATGAATAATAAATACTGTGGATATAACAGGAAAAAAAAATTTGTCTTTTCTTGATATGCGTAAAGTGACAAGTAAAAATGAAAATCTATTTTTAGTATACATGCTAAGTAAAAGTGAATTGAGGGAGTATATTATTTTTTGTATATAAATAGTAAATTGTATTTGCTAATGTAATTAAGTTATAACCCCTGTACGACTGGTAAATAAGCTTATAATATCGTATAGATAGGTAAATGTTCGTAAAAATAGTACCGTCTAGCCAGTTTTCGGACTGGTCATTCAAAAATAGCCAGCGTTTACCAAGTCAATGAAAAATAGCCACTATTTGCTACAACAGAGACCGGTCCAGCATAATATACTGGAGTTCGCTGCACCTGTGTATGAACTTCCAGCATATTATGCTGGAACTCCAACACACAGAAAGTTCCAGCATAATATACTGGAGATTCGAGCACTTGTGTATGAACTTCCAGCATATTATACTGGACCGGTATATTTTGCTAGAACTCCAGTATATTATGCTGGAGTTCTAGTGTACTTATGTTGGAACTCCATCATATTATGCTGGAGTTTCAGCATACTTATCCTGTAACTCCAGTATAATATGCTGGAGTTCAAGTATACTTATGCTGGAACTCCAGCATAATATACTGGCGTATTTTTCGGATTTTGAACAGTGTTTTCGCTCAAATTTATCTTTACATGAAAAGTGGCTAGATTTCGATTACTTTTAAAATTGGGCTACTTGAACTACCACTTGTAAATCTGGCTATTTTTGAATTTCACCTTAAATATTCCTAAAAAAAGCCCACTTAGAACCCCCCGTCACGTTTCATTCCATCCCGTTAGTTAGTGGGACGGACGGGCCTAATGGGTCATCTTATTTATCCCTACTAGATAGACACAGTCCCTTAAATCCGTTTAAGTTTTTGTCCCGTTGGACAGCCATACATATTAGTAATTTCTAGTTTTGCTACTAATATTTTGGTGTATTTGCCGAGTCTTTGGTGTATATATCGCTAAGCGATAGATAGCTATACAGCTGAGCAAGTGATCGTTTATGTGATATAGCTCTTTTTTATCTTTTTTTCTTTTTTTCTTTTTTGGTTAATAACGAAACCATCATATATTATGCATCCATATCCTGTACAAGAGATCAGTGCTATTAGTAGCACCAAAGTTTGCCCAGTGCCAACAGTAACTCCTAACATGTTCCGAGTTACAAGAAAAACAATATTGCACATGAATTTTTAAATTTATATATAGCTCAGTAGTTTCATTAATTGGACATAACAAACCACATAACACTACCAGAAATTTATCTCCTATAATTAGGTCCTTTATGTCTGGATTTAACTACTGATCCCATGATTCAGCACAAACCAAACCTATAATTCCCCTATCTCCTAAGTAAATTATCCATAAAGAAGTTTACAAACTATTTTGACTAAAGACCAAAAATATTATTTTTGGTGAAACGACAAATTTTCCTTTAAGATTTTTTAAAATACTTTTAAATGCTTTTCAGTTTAAAAGGTGTGGTTTATTTTTTTTGACAAATTTTGTTTCAAATCATTTCCTATATTTAGGAATCAATGATTTGACAGGGAGTAGGGATCATGTATAATTGATGTCGCAGTACTCAAATTACACGTGACTCATTTTTCATGGCTAGTTAAATCATCTACAGATATATTTTGTATTTGTCACTTTCAGCTAATTAAGATATCGACCGCACTCGCTATTGGTAACAATAAAATGCTTCTGACCACAGAAACACCAGATTTTTTGAAGAATAATGGGACCCTACCTTTTATCTTTGTTCCACATCATTTTCTCATGTAGGTGAAAAGATTGATAAGGAATAGAGAAAAGTAGAGAGGGAATTCTTATTGGTTTGGGATCAAGTATAATGGAATAGAACCCCTTTATTTATATGGGAAAAGTGACTTAGCCACCAAGTAACAAACCCTAAGTTCTCTCTAAAATATAGACATTCATCTTAAATATAATTCTATTTATAACCCCCCCCCCCCCCGAATGTCTATTCAACAGATAACGTGCCTCGTTAAAACCTTAACTAAAATAAAATCCAGTGGGAAAAAATTCTAGTGAGGAAAAGAGTACACATATTTAACAATACGCCTTTTGGTTGCCTCGTTAAAAACCTTGCAAGGAAAACCCACTGGGACAAAACCTTGTAAGGAAAAAAGAGTACAACGCATATTAGCTCCCCCTGATGAGAGCATCAATTCGCTTCTTTAAGCCTTCGCATTCCAATCTTGTGCACCATCTTCAAAAAGATCGTTGGTAGAGATTTGATAACAAATCAGCCATATTAACTTGAATTAATATATTGCACCTTGAAATCATCATTCTTGATAGATATATAATGTCTTCATATAATGTCGTGGAATGTCTTTTCAATATCTCCATAGAGGTATACTCGCTATCACATTATCATGCTTATAGTTATAGCAAGATACATATGTGCAAAAATTGCACTTAGGATGTGGTACTTTAGGACCAAATTCTATAAGCTTTAAGCAATTTAAATCCTCCAGGTAT